AATGAATGGGTTGTATCTGTTGAAGCAACACTAAGTCACAGCAATGGATAGGATTGCAGGATCCTAAATTTAGAGCTTTAAAGGACTTCCTGGAACTGCTCTCTCATTTTATGGATAAAATACCTAAGGCCCAGGTAAATTAAATTTGTTACCCAAGGCCACAAAAAGTAATAACCATCAGAGACAAGATTCAAACTCATTTGAACTCTGATTCTAGAGATAGTGTTCTTTTCGCTATACCACATAGGACTACCTATGTTCCAGTCACAAAGGACTATCCTAATAAGTTTTCCTCTTTTCGAGAACCCCACATATCTTTCAAAAATAATTTTCTCAGCAGAAGTTTGCAGAAGTAAATAGATAAGTCATGAGCTAGTATTCATCATTGGCAGAAACACAAACTTATTATACCCTGACCAGTCATTACCAATTTCTCCAACTCTCTATACTTAGCAGATTTGAGATTCTCAGTTCTCCACCACTCAGTCACTCAGTTTGTTCAGTTGTTTCTGCTGTGTCCAACTCTGTGACCCCATTTGGGATTTTCTTGGCAAAGATACTGGAGTGGTTTGCCATTTCCTTCCCCAGCTCATTTTATAGATGAGAAAACTGAGGCAAACAGGGTTAAGTGACTTGCCCAGGGTCATACATGAGCATCTGAGGCTACATTTGAACTCAGGTTTTCCTGACTCCAGGCCTAGCATTTTATCCTCTGTACCACCCAGCTGCCCAATCACTTAATTAGAATGTATTTGGCAGCTATTACGTACCAGGCACTGTGCTAAGCACATATAAAGATAGGCAATTAAAAACCAATAGGAATTATATCTTATTCATCCTTACATTCCTCTTCATTTCTAGCTACTGGTTTTGCTGACTTCCTTCAAATTCTAGGGAAAATCTCAGTTTCTACAGAAAGCCTTTCCTAATTGTTAATTCTAGTGCCTTCTTTCTGTTGATTATTTCCTATTTATCCTACATATAGCTTGTTTGTATATAGTTGTTTGCATGTTGTCTTCCCCAGTAAATTGTGAGTTCCTCAAAGGCTGAGATTACCTTTTGCCTTTCTTTGTATCCCCAATGCTTAACACAGTGTATGGTACATAGTAGATGCTTAAGAAATGCTTATTGATCAACTGTCTGTTCCCCAAAGTACCTGCCATTTTGCCTTGAATAGCATGTACTGGATAAGTATTGTTGAATGAATTAATTAATGAATGAGTGAATGAATCAATGGACCTGAGTGAAGTAAGCTCTGGAGGAGGAAGAGATACCCATGTTAGTAGCAAAACAAAAAAACAAAAAACCAGGAAAGAACACCTGAGCAGTAAGTAAACATGAGAATTCAGGGAAAAGATGAATCCTAAAGTTTTAAATGGAATATTAGAGGAGAGGTGTGATAGGTTGATCACATCTGCCAAAACATTTATTTCTAATTTCTTTTTCTGTTTTGTTGGGGGAATAAAGAGAATAGTATATGATTGATCTTTTTTCTCATTGGTCAGCTGACTATAACTTTACAAGGGGCTTGAGAAGTGTAACAATTTGATGTCACTTCACATGGCATAGTCATACATTATATGCAGGTGGTATGACTGTCAGATTGAAAAACTATTATTCTGCTGTACATACTATGGAGGGATAAATGAACAGAAGTCATCAATTGTACCAGTACATCTTGATAGTCAGTCAACAAGCATTTTTAAGCACTTCCTATGTACCTATGCTAAGCTCTGGGAATGCAGAAAGGCACAGATTCCTCTAGGAACTTACATTCTCATGAGAAAGGTAATGTGTATGCAAGATACATGCAGAATAAAGAGAAAGAAATATTAAAGAAGACTAGCAGCTGGACTGGACGGATAAGGGACAAGGAAAGGTCTTCTGTAGAAGGTGGCATTTGAACTGAGACTCAAAGGAAGCCAAAGAAATTTAAAAGTGGAAGTAAGAGGGCAGATCATTTCAGGCATTTCAGAACCAATTCACAGAGAGAGTAGATAGAACATAGAGGAACAGCGATGTAGTTCTATTATAGAATGTGTGGAGGAAGCAGGTAAAATGTCAGAAGCTTGGAAAGGTAGGAAGAGGTCAGTTTGTGAAAAGTTTTAAAAGTCAAACAAAGACTTTATATTTGTTCCTAGAAATAATAGAGAGTCACTGGAATTAGTTGAGTAGAGATATGACATGTAAGCTTTAAGGAAATCACTTCAGCAACTAAAATGGGGAGGGGGGAGAGTGGGGAGTGTGTTAAAGTACAGAGAGACTTGAGTCTTGGAAACCAATTAGAAGGCTGCTCTGACAGCCTAGATGAGAGGTAATGAGGGCCTGAACTGAAGGTGGAGGTATTCTTTGAGTGGAGAGAAGGGGACATTTAAAAGAGAAATAATGAAGGTAGAAACAATAAGATTTGGCAGAGAATTGAATATGGGGATAGGTAGGAGTGAGGAGGGGTCAAGGATGGCATTGATGTGGAAAACTTGGGTGACTAGGATGATGGTGATACCCTCAATAGCAAAAGGAAAGTTCAAAAGATAGGAGAGTTGAGGGGAGAGGAAGCCAAATGAGTTGTGTTTTGGACATGTTGAGTTTGACATACCTATGGGATATGCTGCTCAGGAAGTCCAATAGGCCACTGTTGATGCAAGACTGAACCTTAGGAGAGAGACTAGGGCTAGAGATGTAGCTAGAGGAATCATGATCACTTAAGTCTAGTGAGAACTTTACAAAATATAGAAATATTCAAATCTTCTTAACCATTTTATTAACAAAATTATAACCATTATATTTATAAAATATAACATCATTAACAATTTACAATGTGAATACATAGATCCTTGTAAAGAATGCAATGCAACATATAATTATGTTGAACACACACGTATTTATTTGTGAAAAACACAATGCTTTTATATACATTATTGAATTTTTTTAATTGTTAAACAGCCTAGGATCAAGTAAAAACCCCAGTGATACTCCACTGGAAATCCCTGAAACAATGACTGTACAATGCAACTTAATAATATGGTATTGACTAGAATGGGTACAAGAGTTAAATATGTTATATTCATGAGACAGCAAGGATCCTGGACTATTGAGTTAGAAAAGACTTGTAGTACATTGATGAAAAAGTTGATTCATTAGAGTGGGGCCTGAACAAGTGTAGTAGTACTATGAGCAGAGATATGAGAGATTTTATAAAGGTAGAAATGACAAAATTTGACAACTGATTGGATACATGAGATAAATGTGATTAAGAGTAAGGAAGAGAGGATGAAATGGCAGAGCTGGTATTGAAACCCAGCTCTTTTAATTCCAAATCCAGGATTTTTTTTTCCATTGTGTCATATAGCTTCAATACTTGTCAAATAATTCAACAAATACCCATTATTCTTTAGTACTTAACTCTCCAATGTTTTCTCTTTTTCTGTTATTTCTCAGAATTATATATTGTTACAGTATCAAAATTTGTCAGTACTATGTTGTTGCTAATTTTCCTCTGCCCTGCTGGTCTCCCCAGGACCTGTCCTTTCCTAATTAATAAATGCAATTAGTTTTGAAGATCCTTCAACAATAATAATTCCTGGAGACTTTTAACTGACATTATCCCTTCCCTTTTTTGAAGTTTACCCCCCAATTAGGCAAAAATCTAGAAGCTACAAGTACTCAGCTCAGTTTCCGAACTGAATGAAAAGATGGCTGACTTATCATGTGCTTTTCTCTGCCTGATTTTTTTTTTACCTGTAGCCAATTTCAGTCATTTTTCAGTTGTGTCTGACTCTTCATGACCTCATATGGGATTTACTTGGCAAAGTCACTGGAGCAGTTTGTCATTTCTTTCTCCAGCTCATTTTACAGATGAGGAACTGAGGCAAACAGGCTTAGATGACTTGCCCTTTTAAGTTCTATTGTTTGTTACACCACACTGCTAATTCATATTGTTCTAGGGGCCCACTAACACTTCTTTGACTTCTTCATATGAACTGCTTTCTAAGCATGTACTTATGCAGTTGATTTTTTTCACCCAAGTGGAAAACTTTATATTTGTCCCTATTAAATTTCTCTTATTAGCTTTAACCAAACTTCTCAGCCTTTGATAAACATCCAAATGCTTCCTACCAAGCTACCCCTCTCATTTTCTTCAATTTCCATACAGATGTAATGCTATCAACCCTCTCCTTTGACCCATTTGAGCCAACTCTTCTCTTCCATTCCTGCATTCCAGTTTAGTGACTAGTTTGCCTAAGAGCATTTGAAAATTTAATAATGGTGTCCTCTCTCAGATAAATGGATAAATTCACACCTTACTGTTATGGTTCAGCAGATTATTTTATTACAAAATATTGGATTCTTAGTATTTAATTATAATGTAGGTAAGTTTAGGAAATGTGACGTATATAGAGTTCTGTTGTACTTAAACTCTTATTTTGATACAAGTGGGCTTCTGTAGCTCTCAAGATCAAAGATACAGCAAGAATTAGAACTCAACTTCAATCCAACTATACAACCTTTAAAAATGTTCTTTTTGACTTGCTGGACTGATACTGAGTGAAGTGAGCAGAAGCAGGAGAACATTGTACACAGTAACAGCCATGTTGTGTGATGACTAACATTGATAGACTTAGCCCTTCTCAGCAATGCAAAGATCTAAGACATCTCCAAAGGTCTCATGATGGAAAATGCTATCCACATCCAAAGAAAGAACTATGGAGTTTGAATGCATATCGAAGCATACTATCTGCTATTTTTTTCTTCTGTTTTGTTTTGTTTTCTCTTTCTTGTGGTTCCTCCTATTGGTTATAATTCTTCTTTAAAACATCACTAATGTGAAAATATGTTTAATAGGAATGTACATGTATAGCATAAATCAGATTGTGTGCCATATTGGGGAGGGAGGGGGGAGGGAAGAGGAGAAAAATTTAAAACTCAAAAGATTATGGAAGTGATTGTTGATAAATCAAAATAAATTAATTTTTAAAAAGTAAAAATGAAAAAATAAATAAAAATGTTCTTTTTCCTCTTTGTTCTGGACATTGTGAGCAAAGAGAAGAATGACTTTGTTTCTTATCCTGACAGGAATAAATGCACACTATTCCCCAGATGGACATTCTTCTTTTTCTTCAAGGACTAATCATAAAGATTTGAACAATTCTGTCAGCTTCCAGAGGAGGGATTCTTAACCAATGGTCTATGAACTAGATAGAGAGAGACAGAGAAACTATATTTTAATATAATTATTTCCATCACAATTCTATTTTATTTTATGCATTAAAATATTCTGAGGAGGCATTCATAGATTTCATGAGACAACAAAGGGGTACATGCCATGATACCAAAAATAATAACAATAATAAAGTTAAGAACTCCTGTTCCAGAGGAAATCCACTGGTCAAGAATGTAATAAAATCTTCATTTTCTTATGAAAGTAACATTTCCCCCCTAAGGGCTCAAATACATTTTGTTCTGACATTTGAGAATTATGCTATATAATCTGTACTGGGTATAAAGTATATGTAATCTATCAATCTATCGATGAATCTAACATACATTCATTGAATGCCTATTATGTGCCAAGCATTGGGCTGGGTGCTGGGGATGCAAAGAAAAAAATGGAATCACTGTTGTCCTCAAGCAGTTTCCATTCTTTATCCTGAAAGGATGTCAGTAAGCATCCTGTCCAATTTTCTTTTTTTGTAGATGAGTAAATGGTTGTCTGGTGCTATAAAGGATTTTGCATAAAAATATCATTTTGGGGAAATAATCGTCAAATACTAAGTATCAGGTAGGAGCACCTTTCTAGAATGTTTAATCCATTTTTTAAATCTGAATTTGTTTAAATTTCAAATTTTATAGAGGCAGGAGGGAGCGATAGACAGAATTTTTGGCTTAGAGTCAAGGATACTCTGGCTCAAATCCCACATCTCCTACTTATTAGATGTATGACCCTAGGCAAGTCACTTAACCTTTTCATGTTTCCAGTAACCGTAATTTATTAAGTAATAAGAGGGTTGAAAACTTAGCTGCTAGCAAAAGTTCCTCATGCTGAGAAAAATCAAATACTTTGCATATTCATATATTTAAATTTTCCAAAAAAAGAAATACAGAAAAATATAACTATATTTTTGCTATTTTTTAAAAACGTGTTTCTGTTTCTGCTCTTTACCAGATCCAGGCCTAAGGAGAGTGAAAACATTCAGCAGCCTTGGGTATAACAGTTTAGAGAAGGTGTTAAGTGAAGAAGAATTCTCTTTTAATAGTATCTCTTACAAGTGAATATAGAAAATTCCACCCTCCAAAGCATGTAGAGATTAATTTTGTCATGAATTAATTTCCCTGAGCTCCAGTAAAGGCTCCAAATCTCTTGTGGACACGAGAAGCACAACTGTCAAATCTCATCTCGGGTACATACATGCCTTCTCAATCTGTGGATGTCTTAGATCTGTTGTTGCCATCAGTACTTTGCTCATGCTTCTTATACAGTATGGAGTTCTCTCCAGTCTTTTCTCTGTTGATCCAAGTTCATTTAAGATCTAACTCAAGACATAACTCCAAGAGTCATTGCATCGTTGTTGTTGTTAAATAGCTAGCATTTATACGGCACTTTAAAGTTTGCAAAGCACTTTACATACATTAACTCAATTGATCCTCAAAACAACCCTATGAGGTATGTCATTTATTACTTCCATTTTACAGATGAAGAAACTGAGGCTTAGAGATTGAGTGACCTGCCCATGGTCACACAACTAAATGTCTGAGGCAGGATTCGAAAGTAAGCCTTCCTGATTACGAGTCCAACAAGTTATCTACTGTACTACCTAGTTGTCTAACATAGTGATGAATTTCTCATCATACTGATCATTCTTTTGTCTAGATCCTCACCACTTTCATATATAGTACTCTTCCCCCATTACTTTGGACTTATATATGATTTTGGATAAGTTACTTATCTCCTTTTAAAGATAATATTATATTTTATCATTTAATAATCAATATTACTCTGTAATTCATCCTAGTCCCCATTTTGTCAAACCTCATTTCTCAGTCTAACTTAAAAGACATTCTCTCCCAGGCTGAAATAAAAACTTGGTTGAATAACATGATTACTCCTAGTGCCTCACCCCCCCCCATTCCACCCCCAGTATTTGCTAGTAAATGAGTTTAAAATGGGACCTTTGCTTTGTTTACAAGTAAACAAAGAACCAACTTGGGCTGGGCCCCTCCCCAGGGAAGAGCTCTCCTGTCCTTACCTCTCCTTGTCAAACTTAAGGGTGATTTGGTCTCCAGAGGGAAGGCTGAGTAAGCATAGGGGAGGGAGGAAGGGATCCTGACTGGGGTAGTTTTGATTTTCTGGACAAGATTACTAGAGGCAGAAAAAGCAATTAGCATTCCTTACTCATCAGAGTGGGCAAGCTAGGTGGCAGTGGATAGAGTGCCAGGCCTGGAGTCAGGAAGACTCATCTTCCTGAGTTCAAATCTGGCCTCAGATATTTACTAGCTATATGACCCGGGGCAAGTCATTTAAACCTGTTTGCCTCAGTTCCTCATCTGTAAAATGAGCTGGAGAAGAAAATGTCAAACCACTCCAGTATCTTGATCAAGAAAACCCCAAATGCAGTCATGAAGAGTCAGACATGACCAAAATAATTGAATAACAACAACAAATCGACAGAAAACCACATGGGAAGGCCAACCCACTTTCTCCAGCTGCAGTTATTCTTTACCTGTCAACCATTCCCCCACCTTTTTTGGGTCTCAATAGGTTCTCAATGAATAGGGTCTTTTCATTCCCATCCTGTCACTGACCTGCAAAGGAAGCCAGTCTGACCCATTTCATTAACAGCTATACCTGTCACTGCTAATAAACTGTAATCTTGCCTTGAAGAAAATTGTGCCTCAGTTTGCTTCAATGTCATTTTATTTGTTACATTTTGTAGAAGTTTCCTAAACTTCTTTATAGCAGTTTTCTTATCTGTAAATTAAAGGAATTGAATTAACTGAATCCTTAAGGACCTTCTCATAGAATGATTTTGTTTTAGGACTGGAGACACTCTCAGAAGAAATGTAGTCAGCATCTGTTTCTGTGAGCTTCCTTTCATCAGGAAGCCTAGTATTGCTGTAGCAATGTCAACCAATCTTTATTTAAAGATATCTCATGTGTCCTTTCTGGAGAGTTGGAGTTTCCATTCACTTATAGTATGATGATTATCCATAAACTGATCATTACCTCCTTCCTGGTAGAAAACTTCAAATAGAAGACTTAACTCTTTTGTTTTCTGTATGTCTCCTTGTTTCCAGGAAGATTACAACTTGCATGATAGCATCAATTGTTTCAGATTTTCATATCTATCAGTAACTACATTTAGTGGTCTATCAATCCAGAAGATGCCTGCAACAAAAATAGGATAAATTTTAAACGTATACTAATGGAACTCAGAAATTCTATGTATGAATATAATAACATATTATCGTAAGTTGGGGAAGGAAAAAGAAGAAAGTTACATGACAACTTTGTTATACATTTAAAAAGAATAGCAAGTTGTACATAATAGATTTGCAATTTCATGTACAATCATCTTTTTTTAAATTCTATGTTATAAAAATGCTTGTTTTATTTCATAAATTAAAAATAAAATAAATAACATGTTTAAAAAAGAATAAGCATAGTTAGCATTCATATAGCACTTTGTTTTGCAAAAGTATGGCACATGTTACATAGTTTATTAATCCAAGTTTGACATTCTCTTTAAGTTCTACTCAAGATATAATTCCAAGTCGGTTATCTGATTAAGAAAAAAATAACAAACTAGTGATATGAATAAAAATATGTATTGATCTCATGCAAAATTAGGAATTAAGCTTTCCAAAAAGTTATTAGTTATTTTAGAAAGATAGCTTACTAAAATAAGGACAGCAATTCAAATGCAATGTACTATATTGAAGATAAGCTGTATGTCCTAGATAACTCACTCTTATCAGTAAGAGATAACAAGAAAAATTTTAGCTTCCATTCTAGGTAAAATGAGTCAAACTAAAATCACTGATGGTCAGCAAAACATGTGCCAAGTTTAAGCTGATTCCTTCTTCCCTCCAAAGTGATCCATATGTCTGGAGATTAGCAATGTTATAGTTATCAGTATTAAATATAAATTACAAGTGCATTGCTCTTAAGTTTAATCTTAAAAATGTTAAACTAGGATTAGACCATCTTAATTTTTATTATACTAAGTATCAGTGGCATCCAAAGAATGAGGGGGCTTTCAACGTGATCAAAGTTTAGCACTATAGGAAATAATGTATGATCTCCATCTTGATATCATTTGATAGATAGCAGAAATTCTACAGGCACAAGACACTAAAGAGAAATTTTAAAAAATAAAATAAAATGCATCCACATTGCACACAGCATTCCCTAGCAGACATACATAACTATTTCTTGTTCTTTTTGTCAGGCTATAAAATCATTAGTATGTTTTTGAATTCTTTTAATTTTGAAGAACAGATTCACATTCACATAGAAAGCCTAAAGAAATGGAAGAAAATCCATACAGTCAACTAATACATTCAGGGCAGCTACGTGACATAGTGGATACAGTGCTGGGCCTGGGGTCAGAAAGACTCATCTTCCTGAGTTCAAATCTGGCCACAGACACTTACTAGCTGTATAACCCTGGGCAAGTCACTTCACCCTATTTGCTTTAATTCTTCATCTGTAAAATTAGCTGGAGAAGGAAAAGGCAAATCACTCCAGTATCTCTGCAACAAAAACCCCAAAATGGGGTCACAGAGAGTCAAACACAAGTGAAATGACTGAACAACAATAAAAATTTCTCATTAAGGAAAAGGAGAATTCTATTATATTTGTAACACCCCCATTGGACTAATTCCCAAACTCCCATTCTTGTTGGTGGGCCAGAGCCCCAGAAGGTAGCTAACTACTTCTCCCCTTATGTTTCTTGAGACCAAGGTCTCTATTGCTGTTGTTCACTAGGCTCTATATAGGGTGCTCCAATTTGCCAGTTTTAATTAGCTTTTAGAAAGGTGGTTCAGTAAGAACTGTTCATACAAAACATACCCACAAACTGAGGACACATTTTCTGCTTATAACACAAGGTTCCTGGGGAGAATGGGATCAAATTTAGAAAGCACATGTGATGAAAGGGTAAATGTCCAGGTACTATTGGAAAGCATTTTCCCCCTTTTTGGAGTCCTCAGGAAGTTCCTCTTAAACAGCTCTTTGCTGGGCTCCAAGGACCAGTTCCCTTTTAGGGTCCTAAATCAGCCTTCCCTCAGTGTGTACAATTTGTTCTTGGTGTATCTTCAGTTTCTGATAGAGATGCTTACTAGCCTGTGCTGTTCAGGAAACAGTATAAGGTTTGTCTGGGCTCACCCTCCCCTTTCTGTCCTTGGGTAGATGTACAAGTGACTGATTCCTCAGGGCCCTCCTGGGCCTGAAAGCTTCTGAAACCTGACTGTTTTACTACTAAATAGTCACCCTATGATGTGTCTTACTGTGTTTATACATAGCCCCACAGGGTGTGACTGATTGTCTTCAAATAATCATAAAATATTTCTCATATGGCATCATCAGACTTCATCCAGTAATCAGTGTTAAGGCATCAGTGTGAGTATCCCTTTTAAACTTTTGAGGGACAGCTGCTATGAGATGCTGGATAGGGAAAAGTCGAGGTTATCTATATCCCATCTACTCACCCTGCGTTACTGAGAGAATAGAGACTCTGGTTGTTTTTTTGTTGCTTGTTTGTTTGTTTTCGGGGGTGTGTGTGTGTGTGTGGTCCTTCCTGGTGCTGTGTGTCTTCTAAGACAGAAGTACCAGGTGAATAGGGAGACCAGGAGATCCAGTAAAGCTACCCATGGTCTCCCTGACAACTGGAGTCCGGGGACAGCAACAGCAGAGTTCTGTGACAGGCTGCTATGACAGCAGCCAAGTGTCATATTTGATCTAGCCCAATAGTGGATGGATCATATCATCAGATATCTCGTCCTGGAAGGAGTCAACGCAGCTGATCCTTTCATCTCCTACAACTTATGTAGGAAACAAATTTGGTGAGGATTCTTTGAAGAATTCAGGGAGTCCTAGGGCTAGGAATAACAAGGTACTCTCTAGCCCCATATGTTTTCTATACATGTGCCGCAATAACATGGTACTTTAAGTGCAAGACTACATCCACAGAGACCTTAGCTATCATGTCTCTCTAGCCCCACAATCTTCAGGTATGTGCATAAAAGGAGAGTACACCCTTGGTTTGGAGGATGTTTTTGTAATCTCTGTCCTTGCTATGCCCTTTTTAAAATTATGATTAACTCTGGCTGATAACCAGTGGGGAGTATATCAGATAGGAGCTTGTGAGCAACAGTACTAGAGACTCCAGCTCATCAGAATTATCCCTAGAAACCGAAAGGAAAGGTTGTCATCTGACCTCTGGGACCCTGGACCACCAATATAAGAAAGAATTGGGGAAATTGCCAGGTTGAATGGTTATATATTAAAAATTAGACTTTGTAAGTAAAGACAGAAGCATGAACACTCCTGCCTAGGTGAATAAAATGGCTTGATGCTAGTCTTCCTATATTCTTGTACTTCTTTGGACAAAACTGAAATGATAAGAATACAGCTAACATCATTGAGCAGAGTCAATTTAATTCAGTTCAGCAAACATTCATTGAGTGCCTGCTGTGTGCTGAGCACCATGCTAAGCTCTGGGAGAGCTGAAACTCTCACTCTAGCAGATGCTTGAATGTGTTTTATCAAAATGTAGAAGGAACTAACTGAAAAGGAGTCTTTATAGTATTTGATTGAAGCTTGCCTGCAAAGACCCATGTGTTTAGACATTTGACCAGCAAGGAGCAGGCAATTGTGACTGCGGGGAAAACATGTACCACTATGGAGGCCAGGATGCTTAAAATCACTAAGGATTACTTCAAAGCATGTTCAGAAGAAATGAATTGTAACACCATGTTTCTCATTGTTCTCAAACACTAAAGATTGCACATACAAATAAAATAAACCAATCTATAATGTGAATTGTTGTTTTAATAAGCAGCATAAATGTGTATATCTAAATGTCAGTATCAGCATTTAATAATGTGTATTGTTTATTTTAATAAGCAATATGTATATGTATATATATATTTAAATGTGGGTATGAAATTTAAATACAAATAGGTTAATATGAATCATATACTAGGGGCAGCTAAGTGGTGCAGTGAATAGAGCTCTGGTCTTGGAGTCAGGAGGACCTGAGTTCAAATCCAGCCTCAGACACTTAATACTCACTAGCTATATGACCCTGGGCAAGTCACTTAACCCCAATCACCTCACCAAAAAGCAAAAAAAAAAAAAAAGAATCACATACTGCATTGATTTCTAAGCAATGCCCTGTTGTGATTGTGGTTTCAAATCCTCAACAAAAATGATAAAAATTCACTATGGGCAGTCTTACCATTATCTAAAACAGATTAGCTCCTCCATGCTGCTGCCAATACACCACCCATTATTCACTGGGAAGCTTTTCGCCAGGGAGGCCTTGGAGAAACAAGGGATGGTGATAGTAGAAGATGACTTCCTTTCTGGAAGACAAATTGGAAGTAAAAGTGTCTACACAAGCCCTCACAGAAGATAGTCACACAACCAATAAGTGTCTGAGGCTGAATTTGAACTCTGGAAGGTGAGTCTTCCTGACTCGAGGCCTGGAAACCCTATCCACTGTGCCACCTAGAGATGACTCAATCAATCAACTAACTAAGCAACAGGCATTTATTTAATACTTACTATGTGTCAGACACTGTGCTAAACCTTGGAAATTAAAAAAAAAGACAAAAATAGTTCCTACTTTCAAAGAACTTACATTCTAATGGGCAAAACTGCATATAAATAAATAGGTATAAACAAGATCTATACAGAGTAGATGGAAGGCAATCTTAAAGGAGAAGGCACTGGCCATTGAGGTGATAAGAAAAGGTTTCCTGGAGGAGATAGGATTTGATCTGAAGCTTCAGGTAATCTAAGAAACCTAAGAGGCATAGGTAAGGGGGAAGAGCATTTTAAGCAGGGACATTAGCAAGTATAGAGGCCTAGAGACAGGAAATGAAGTGTACAGGGTAGACAAACAGAAAGTAGACCAGGGTGAGGTAAAGTAGAGTTTGTGGAAGGGACTAAAGCTTAGGATGACTGGAAAGGTAGAAAAGGACCATGTTATAAAGAGTTTCAAATGGCAGAGGACTTTGTATTTATATTTCATGCTATTTGCCTCAGTTTCCTTATCTGTAAAATGAGGATAATAATAGTACTTCCCAGGGTTGTTGTGAGGATCAAATGAGATAATAATTGTAAAGTGTTTAACAGTTACTGTTAACTATTGTTAACTAGTATTATTAGAGGTAATAGGGGCCACCAGAACTAATTGAGCAAGGAGGTAACATGGTCAGATCCATGCTTTAAAACCTTCACTTTGGGGCAGCTAGGTGGCACAGTGGATAGAGCTCTGGCCTTGGAGTCAGGAGGACCTAAGTTCAAATCTGGTCTCAAACACATAACACTTACTAGCTGTGTGACCCTGGGCAGGTCACTTAACCCTGATTACCTTCACTTGGTTACAACTGGTTAAAATTGAGAGGGAGTATAAAGTAAACTCACCCAGGCACACTCAACCAGCTAAATTAAAGAGAACAGAGATTATTATACAAGCATTATTCACCCAACACAAATGTTCCTGTAGTTAATGAACGAAAATGTATTAGCATATGCTTCCTTTTGTATTGTTTTGTTTAGCTTGGGTTTTTTTATTTGACCTTACTTATGTAACCTAAGTTCATTTCATATTTTAAATATCAGGAAACATTATACATAGGAGCTGGCTGTAGAATAATGTCCCCATCACCCATAATGATAAACAATCAGAAAATTGACCAGAGGATATAGCAATGATCTTTTCCTTTGTGTGTTATTCATCTCTCCTTTGCTGCAACTAGGTTACCTACCTTTGGTTTGAAAAGAATAACTAACCTAACACAAAACAGTTTACAAGAGTATAAAATGAAATTATTTGAAACTATGAATTATAAGTTGCAGTAGTATTACCAAAAGCTAATTGCCAAAGTAAAACTAAGTTAAGGTGGGAGGGAGGGGTGAACAAACTGGGTAATGTGGAATTATAGACTATGAAATGAACTTGTTTCAGCTAGATGTCCAATGGTGTTGTGTTAAAAGAATGACCATCCTATAAAGAAATTATAATCAAGGATAGGCAACCTTGCAGAAAATATACTTATTATCTACAACTTAGATACCTGTCAAAATAGGATAGGAAGATAGTGACTAGTTTTCTCATCCTCTCTTCTGAGATGTAAGAGTAAGGTTAAAATCATCCCATTTTATCTCTGGTAATTTAACTAGGTAAGAACTTTTTTTTTTTCCCAACGGAATCAATCAGAATGGTAAATGAACAGGGCCTGTACAACTCTTTCAGTTAATCAAAGCCATTGTGTGAGAGATTGTGTCATACTCTCTTGAACTCTCTCTTCAAAGTTCTTTTCACCTTTCCCTTACTCTTTTTGTTGGTTTTCCTTTGTCTTTCCAATATTTATCTGAGGCTTAAATGAAGTTTACCAGGCACTTTGGGCTGCATTCCCAAGCAACCTAACTTTGAAAAGACCCAAACCCTATGCCCCAAAATCTATACCCACCTCACACCATCGATGGGCATTTCTCAATCGTTTCATGACTTCTTATACACTATAGAAGTTTGCCATGTCCCTTTACAAATTACAGAGGTATTATATGTTAACAGAGGATGTTACAAAAATGTTACCGTCAATAATTAATAGTTACTGAGCCTTTAGTCAGGGAATGACTTCATATCAGTTATACAAAGGAAACTATTGATTAACAGCCTAAAAATAGCCCCTAGTTAAATACCAAGGAAAATTGTGCCCTGGGCTCCCATGCCTTATTCATGGGAAAACAAGGACAGGTATTTGACTGGCATCTCTAAACAAACAGCAACCATGCAGACCAGGAATCACATAGAAAGGAGAAGGAGAAACAAAGTATATTCTCCATTTTATAGATAGAGCAAACAAGGTTGGGCAAAATGAGTGGCTCTCATCTGGAACTCTTATTTGAATAAGAGACAAGTAATTGAATCTGTATCTCTAGACCTTAGATGTAACTCTTCAAATAATGTAGTTCAGAGGCAGCATGGTGTAATATAATGAGCAGAAACCTTGGAGTCAGAGGATTATGGCTCAAGTCCTAAGCCTGCTATTTACCACTATGTGAATTTGGATGTTACTTAATGTTATATAGCTTCTCTATATTAGTTTCCTCAGCTATGAGGGAGCTGGGATACATAACTCCAAAGGTCACTTTCAGCTCTGAATCTATAATCCTAGAGAGTAGTGGAAAGAACTTTCCATTTGAGACCAGAGGGCCTAGGTTGAAGTTCTGATTCTGCCACTTATTAATTCTATGACCTTGGACAAGTCACCTCCCTTTCCAATTCACAGTTTCCTCATTTAAAAAAATGAGAATATTTATTTGCACTACCTACACTCTAGAATAATATGAGAATCTGATGGGATAGTATATATAAGGCACTTTGTAATCATTAAAGCCCTATATAAGTGCCACTTATTCATATACAAAGTCTCATAACCCAAGATGCCTTAAGGTTTGCAGATCCAGAATATAGTAAATATATCAATCTAGTTGCCTTTGAAGGGCTGAATTTGTATAGTTATTACTGGAGTTCACAATAATGACATATTGTCTCTAATGTGAACCAATGGTTGGGTTCCACAAGCCCCTAAATTTCATAGTTTTCTATATGTAAAAGGGAGCTTAATTCATTGTTTAAAATGTTTTGTGGCTAAGACTTCAGTATCCCAAGATTCCTTGATATCACTGATGTGGCACTCCCTTGAGAGAGAGAGAGAGAGAGAGAAAGAGAGAGAGAGAGAGAGAAACAGAGAGAGAGAGAGACAGAGAGAGAGAGAGAGAAAGATGACTACTACCTATTCTTTTGTATATGGTCTGCATGAATTTCTAAGAATGAAAAATTTAGGGTCACATAACTTTATATTTGGAAAGAATCTCAGAAATCTAGCCTGATCCCTTAGTTTTATCAATAAAGGAAATATTAAATGATTCATGTAGTTGCACAATAAGTCAGCTACAAAACCATGACATAAAGAACAAACCTGTGGAGATAACACCACCCCAAATTTAATTAAGCTGGTCCACAGGATACAGTTGGATAACAATAGTATTTATATAGTGCTTTAATGCTTGCAAAGCACTTTAAAATATTATCTCATCCTCATAGCAAGCCTGAGAGGTATTATTATTGTCCCCTTTTACAGATGAGGAAACTGAAGGAAACAGAAGTTAAATGATTTGTCCAGGATCACATAGTGAGTAAGTGTTTCAGGTTAGATTTGAACTCAGGTCTTCCTGTCTCCAGGCTCAGTGCCCTATCTACTGTGTTGCAGCCTGGATAACAATGTTGGAAGCCAGAAGACCAATGCAGTGTGACTTTCTCAGGTTCCTGAGCACCCTTTAGGATGGCCCCCATTAGAGTAACATCACAACATACAATGAAGAACAGATGAGGGGAAAATGTTCCAGTCCACTATAAGCAAGCAAAGAATGTGAAGTGGAGATAGCTGTGCAGTGCTTTAAAAGTTGACTCTTGCACTTATACTGTGGGTTAAGAAGCATTTGGAAAACATATTGTATAACAAAATATTTCATTTTCAACCAGTCGTTGGCAGGTCCAGTATATGATGGTCAGTGTAAAATGGAATATGAAAGCAGATGAGTTTGCTTTGGGCCAGACAGAAATGTGCAGTTTCATAAAATGGCTCATATGTTCACTGGGACCAGGGGACTCTGGAATTCAAATGTTATTACAATATCCATTAACTGGTCAGAAGCACATCTTTGGGGGAGGGTGTAAATGAATGGGTTTTACTGTGTTCAAGGGCCACTGTGCCTGATGGAATTTAAATCACAAGCCACATCAATTTCAGAAAGAGCATATTGAGTTGCCTGAAGCTGGGATCTATTTTTACACACTTTTTAAATGTTTGTGTGCCAATATGTCTTCTTATTCTGCTGCTCGTTTTTACCTTTGGTTTTTGGTCTGGGGAAACTTGATGAGTGTCACTTTAGAGAATTCCTCAGCAAACAAGAAAAGAAAAAAAAAGGCACTGGGGTTTGCTGGGATCAATGACACTGGAAAGCACAATTCTCTGTGAAAAGAGATGCCAGACTGCAACTAGAAGGTTAATAGAGCCTGAAGGTCAGTGTTGCTAATGGATAGAGCTGAAAATCCACTGGATTTGGAGTCAGAAGACCTTGAACTCTTTTGAAAACTGTTTGCTCACATCCTCGTATCTGTTCACTGTCTTCTGCACTCAATTCCTTTGTCCCCTTGTCCTATCACCAAATATGACTTGTTAAACCCCAATTTTGGATAATTCCCTTCTTCACTCCTTTTCAAACACTGGTGAATAAAGCTGGAGAAAATCAAAAAATTGTGTTGACTGGAGCCAATACAAATTTTTGTTACATAATCTCAATGGGACTATCAGTGAAGAAAGACAATCTCTACATACCTCTATTCACTTCTTTATAACACTCACTGCAAAGGCTATTCCAAGCTTTTGAATCCTTCCTTAAACCCCCC